GGCAGTGTCTTTCCAGGGTTAATTCCAGAAATTAGGAATAAAATGTTTGTCTAACCAAGAAATAAAGAAAACAATTTTTCTATCGTTTATGTATTGCCGTAGCCCCACTGATACGTTTACAGTCTTGCTATTCCATTTGACATGCTTTTCTACTGCTAACATGGGTAGTTAATACTCATTAGGTTTTAAAGCAAACCTTGAAGCAGCACAAACATATCTTATTAGATCAAGCCTGCAACTTTTTTCTTATCCTGGTGAACAAGTTCTTTCTATTTGTTTTCTACCATTTCTTGTGTGTATGGTTCACTGATTGTGTCCCTCTGGATGCTCACAGGAAATACCAGTGAGACTAGAAAACTAGGAAAATGAAGTGTGAGGGATTCAAGTTATGGAGTCCCTCAGTCTGTCTTAAGGCAGGATTGCTTGTTTTTGCAGTGTTGGAAACCCCACAGCTCCTGCAGATTTCATCAGTCCCCTCATTATTACAGCTTGGAAAATCTTTTGTAATGTTGTCTTCTGACAATAATAAGAGAAAGACTGGAGAAAACTGTCAGCCATAGTCCACTACCTTTGGACTGCAGGAGGTGCCGTGCAATGGGTGGTAGTGGGTTGTTCATGGTAGAGGTACAGTATCTAATGGTGTAAACTCAAGCTGCTCCCTTTCAGTTTTGCCTTCAGCCCAAGGTGGGTAAATCAGGAGACTATGACCTACCCTTCCTCATGTGGCTGTCTCTAGAAGCAGTGAGAATCGGACCATTTCTGCACAGCTGACAACAGCTGTATAATTCATTTTTCAGTGCTGAAGTTGGTTAGAGTTTTCTTCCCCTGTTACTTCTGTGTAGTAACATTGCTGTGGAGTCCTGCCCACTCGCTGGCAATGACAGCATATTCACAGAGTGGCTTACTGGCAAAAACTGATTATGGTGGACCACTGAGAGGAGATAAATATTCCTGGGAGTATTTATAGAGCAATACTGTTTATTTGTTGTTTGACAACCTCAGTTGATACTTTCACTTTATAAGCTCTTTTTCACAGTTTACTTAGATATATTTCTCAAAAAGCAGGTGAGATCTGGCTATAGGATACCTGGTATCAGCATATTATATATTAATAGGGTGTTAATAATTCACCAAAAAGATAGGTTCCTGTCCGTAAATGGTTCCCAGGTAAAAGAAAAAAAAACAGTTTTAAAATCCATATTTCTGTTCTTCCATTAAGCATCGTTATATAACCATAAAAATATCTGCTCATACTCTTTTTTTTCTGAGGTATATGTTTTTGCATCCTTTCTCTGGTTCTCTCCTTCTGTTTTAATTAACCTTAATATACACCTCCTTATCTCTGCCTGAAGAAAACCACGGGCAACTTTTATTTAATTCATAAATGTAAACCACTTCCCAAGCTAGCATTTATCAAGTATTGTCACCTTTAATTGCTTTCTATTGTCCTGGCATCCACATTTTATTGTCCGTGTCAATATTTTGTCATGGGCTCTTATATGCAGAGCATCACCCTTTCACATTGCAGCCAACAGTGTGTGCTCCTGAGTTGGGAGACTCAGTAGAGTCCCATCCGTGGTGGTACCATATTCACCAGCTGCTACATTTTCTACTTGCCTGGATGTGATTTTGCAACCAAATTGCTGAAGAGCCAGAAATAGAAATGAGCTGCAGTCAGACTCTGGATCTAAGCTCTCCTCCTGCAACGCATCATGAGCAACCTGTCCTTCTACATTGTCATCACAACGCTCTTATCCCTTGCTTTGCCCTGAGTGTCAAACATCCTTAGCTAAGGTGTCCAAAAATTGCAACTGGAGGTTAGATTCCTGGGTTTATAATTGTGAAGCTGCCTGCTTTTCCAAAAAAAATGTGAATCACCCAACTACACATGTAGTGGTCATCAAATTGTTCCCACTGAGAGGGGGAGATTTGATGGGGAAAAGTCAAGGCTGTATCTACGAACTTATCTGTTCCTATTTCTGGAAGAAAAAAAAAAAAGAAACAAACCAGAAAAGACTTAGTCCAGGTTCTGAAATGTGAGTGCTTGGAATAGCTCTTGCCATAGAAAATTGTTTTGACAGCTATTGCTAGGTGGTGCCATTAGTCTTCCAAATCTTTTTTATTGATGCTAACAAATGTTCATTTTCAGTAAGCCTTGTGGGTTGTGATAGTTTTACAGTTCATGGTTCGCATGTCAAAGAAAGCTGGGTGTCTGCTCCACTTTCTCTGCAGATCAGCTCCCCAGTAACTAGGCTCTGACATGTGTCTTTGATTCCTGAGGGATGGATTTCCACGCACAGTGTTTGTGACCACTGTTGCTTTGGGGCTGTCATATGTATAAAAATAAATGAAGCTGCAATTAAAATAACCACCTGCTGTCACACACTGATTTGCTTTTCAGTGGAAAACAGCGCTCCACGTATCAGCTTTTCCTCAGGGGAACAGCAACAATATAATTTAGCATTAAAATGCTATTTTGTCATTGGATTCTTTCCAAGTTTTATTTCTTGTAACCAGGCTTGTCATAGTCTGTGTAGTCCTGCTTCATCCCTACCAAGTCGCTGGTGCTGTAACTCAGAACTGCTGCCCTTGATCTTTCTCCTTCAGCTACTTCCTTTAAAAACAAAAAAGACCTGGCTTGTGTGCTCATTCCTCACTCTGTCTTTTCCTCTTCCTCTGCCTTTCCTCTCCCTCCTCATTTAGAAGGTCTGCAGAAATGCTGCCTCTTCTCAACCCCCCGGATCTTCACTGCTGTGATTCTTTCTTTTTTTTCCTTTGTAACTTTTCCCTATTTGTCTAGTAACTCCTGGCTATCAGTCACAGACTTTTCTGTTCTCCTCTGAGTGCCCAGGAGCTTTCAGGGAGGGTCGTCTATTCAGAAGTTCCTGTTTACTCCTATGTTCCTCTGAACAGAAACCCAGCACTCCTATCTGGAGAAAAGTCTGGCTTTAAATGCTGGAGTACTGAGAAAATCCATATCTGCATTTTGAGATTCCTGTCCATTTTCCATTTGTAACCAATTCTTCCCTTCAGATAAGAAATAGCTTAATCTCTCTTCTTTCCAGTGAGATTAACAAGGGGTTGAGCGACATTTGAGGATTATCTGGGCTTTCTAAATGAGGTTGAATTTCACTCTTTGTGTTGATCTTTCAAAATAATTAAGGAACTACATTTCTTACCTCTGTGTTAAAAACATGGGGAGAATTTAATAAGAATTTCATTTTCTGAGGAATGTGTGCTCCCCTGGGAAAAGAGAAGATACCAGGAGGCAACAGAAGTAGATTGTTAAATGGTAAATCATTTACCATTTGCTTCCTTTTGCAGTACCAATTCAGGACTCAGTATTTCTGAAAGTCATGGTATTTGGCACTTCTTTTGTGTGGTACAATTTTAGGAATAAAGTTGGTTTAGGAAACTAATGTCTTTCATTAAAATTTTGTATAAATATTTCTGGTCTTTATCAGGAATTAAATTATGGCAACATGACCAAAAAGGCAAAACTACTACTAGTACTAATAAATTAATAACTGTGAGAAAATATTTGAAGCGTTTATTAGATTAGATTCTGTCTGGGGTTAGCCAAATTGTTTATGGCATATTAGGAGACATATTGACTTCTGTCTCTGAGTTACAGTACTAAAATGGTCTTAAACAATTATACTGGAGAGTTGCACATTCATTTCATTATATATAAAATAATAAAGTGTTTTCTGGATGGCTGTAAATCACAAGCTAGGTTTTACTTGAGAGGTGAACAGACAAGATAACTGCATGATAGGGCGGTTTATCACGTATGCAGAAACCATACAGCCCTGTTAGTTAGAAAACCAGGCATGCCCTGAGAACTGATATTGTTTTGACAGAGACAAAAAGCAAGCTATGAGCATTTCTAGAGTGTCCCTGGTGCTTTTGCTATATAGTAATTGGACTTTCAGCTCTTAATTGTCGTTTAATTGAAGAGACACATTCACAGAAAGTTTTCTGCCTCAAACAGGGAAAGCAAACATGCCCAGTAACCTACCTGTTCTGTGGCCAGTGCTTTGCAGGATAACTGCATCCCACAGCTGGGGCAGCTTTTGGCAGTGGTGAGCATAAGAGATCTGATCATTCCAATGGCCCAGTTGTATAAAGGATTGAGCCAAGGTATCTGAGCAATCCTCAGTTCCAGGCAACATTTTATCTTTAACAAAATGTAACTCTTCCCTTAATAAGGAAAGCAGTACTTCTCAAGCAAAACTGTGAGCTCCACTACTATGAGCACAAGACCTCCTCTGCCTGAGGTTCCCGGTCAGCTACAGCTCCAGGGGCCTCTGTCCTCCCTGTGCCTGAGGATGGCCAAGATGCCCAAGTGAGCACTACCTCTGAACAGCTATGCAAGTCAAGACCATCACTAAACAGTGTAAAATTCATGTGATTAAATGGAATGAGCATTATGAATGATTAAGTTGTGTTCATATAAATAACCATAGGGCAAGCACAAAGTCAATAGAACAGTGTTTTCAGTGCTGCACAGACCTTATGTTGGCCTTTATTGCCGTGATGAGTTTTACTCTGAGTATTTAAGGGATCACATTATATTTGTAAAACAGAAAGAGAGCTTTGGATCTGCTCTCCTTTAAACCACTCCCAGAAACCAGAAAATTCCACTGATTCCCATTTGTGTTGCACTGTGATAGCTGAGCTGGGCAAACAGCAGTGAAAATCCAGCACTTTTTCTCCGCAGTTCTGATCACGAGCTGACCATTTGTATCAGATTCTGCTCTTAATAGGCTAGGATAGATAAGATTGATGTCAATGACTGATTTTTGGATGGAAATTTTCTAATGGTATCATGTTGACTCTATATCAGACCAGGAATATGAAAACAAGCAAGTACGATTTGGGACTGTATTCAGGAAAAAGTCTGGAATAGAAGGGGGTTTTAATAGCTTCTCATTTATAGACATATTCCAGGTTATAGGCAAAAAATTTTTGACATTTAACCAAAATAATAACGTTACCTGGTTCTTGCATATACTCATAGTCATATCCCAGCTCTCTTGAGAATCTAAAAAATTCTCCATTTCTGTAGAGGGGGATAAAGGGGACCATGTAATTTTCTCGGTTGTGCCCAATGGGTGCGTTGGCTGCTGGATAAACTTCTAGCATGGGCCTGTGTCTTCTTAACCATCGCTCAAAAATGCTGTAGAAGAAAAAGCATGTCTATTAGTGGTGGAGATTGACAGAAATTTTCTTCTTGAAGGTTAAAAAAAACTGTTGATGCTTTTTTTCATGAACCCTGGGGACAGAGTGGCATGCAATGACTTGTGTTTATGTGTGTGCAATGCTTTCCAAATCGTTTGGGGTTAGCTACTTCAGTGCTGAGTTCCCATGCAAGCCTGCAAAAAGCAATGGCCTGAAGAGCTGCAGAGAGGCTGAATATGCTTTTAAATTCCATAAATGCAATTCACTGTTTTCTTCTGACCTGACTGCAATTTCTGCCCGGTAATTCACGTGATTGTGAAGAATAGAGAGAAATGTCTTAAAGCCCTCAGTCCTTCCTTCCCAACCTCAGAAACATTTACGTCTGGTTTTGGATGGTCTTTGGATGCCAGCTGCTCAGTCCTGTTCTCCTTCCTCTATTTTGTCTCCACTGTTACCAAGAATTTTCACATCTACATTAAAGTACAGTTACATCATGGTTGGTTTGACACCACCAAGGAGGTAGAAACATCTGAGGAAGAAAGGATAAGCTATACAAGTCCAAAAACTTGATAAAGCAGGTCAACTGTCAGGAAAGAGTCTTTCTGCAGCCACAGCTTCTTCACTAACCTTGGTCTCTGCAGAGTTGTTTTACATATTCTCACTCCTCTCTCTCAGCTGCTCTTGCCCGTTTTTTTTTTACCCTTTCTTAAGTATGTTATCACAGAGGTGCTGCCACTGTTGCCGATAGGCTCAGCTTTGGCCAGTGGTGGGTTCGTCTTGGAGCCACTGGCATTGACACCTCTGACCTCAGCTGATCCTTTCCATTTTTTCCTGACAAAATTTCTCACTTTATCTGCTTGTCAGCACAGGGCTATACGCCTGTTGTTTAACTGGGAGACAAAATGCTTAAAGGCTGCAGTACGGGAAGAGTTTGTATTGACATTTTTAAGTCAACTGCTGGATGTGTTTGGAAAGCATAATGAACAACCCTCCAAAACATTCTCAGTTCTCCCTTTGTGTCTGAGCTTTGCCTGCTCAACTCTTCACTTTGCTTCAATCCTCAGGTCCTTTCCCTGATCCCCTGGTGCTTACACTGTGACCTTGGCTTGTCAGCAGATACTTGGGTGTATCAGGTTGGAATAGAGGAGGTGGGAAGATGCCGTAAAGGAGCAGATGCAGGTACCTTATACATGAAGACAAGGGACTCCATACTCAATCAGAAGATATTGGTAGGAGGGGATTATCAGTATCAAGGAGAGATCACTGAATTAATTTATCAGTTATGAGGGATGGAAATGGTCTAAAGAGATGTGTAGGGTACACTTTAATTGAGAGCTTGGCTCAACAGTTGCTGCTCCCTGACACAGGCTGCTGGCTGGAGGACAACAGATTTCTGCCCCCCCCACCCCTCCCACCCTCGCTCCTTGTAATTAATAACCAGCTGTTCAGGGATTCAAGTTATCTCAGAAACACAGACCCTAAGTGCAAGTGCTTGGCAGTATCAGGATGTCTGCAGAGAATCCACCAGTAGAATTCTACCTCTTGTCTTTGGGCAGAAATGTTGAGAAATACTCTGCTTACCCCACAAAATGAATGCCCTCTCACATTCATCAAAACAGAGGTAGGGCCAAAGCCTTGATTCTTTTTTTTAGGATCAAAAGATTCAATAGATGAAAACATCACTATGTTCATATACCTTATCAACCCTTAACAATGCAGATATTAATCTTGGTTAAAATCTTCATTTGTGACTCTCATCTTCAGTTAATTTCATCAGCCCTGTCTAGAAAAACTCTTGTCAGAATAATAATGTTCCTCTGAAGCTTTCAGATGGATAAATTTAAACAATTATATCAAGGCTTCAGCTGCATTTATCACAAGAAAGTTTGAACAGAAACTCTGTAATCAGATTACATCTTTGTAGAACAGCATAGAGAAATTCAGTAATCATTAAAAAGGCACAGAATATAAAGGAAACCAGGGCATTACTTTAGCTGGTGTGAGGGGAAGAGGGTGAGGAGAAGGGGTGTGTGCCAGACTCCAATCCTTTGCCTGCCTGGCTTCTACTCATGTCTTCAGCAAGGCACCTTGAGTATCAATGCCTTGTTTAGCTAGCAGTTGTAGATGGGAGCTGAGGTAGCTCTTCTCTGCAGCACAGGACTGTTAGAGGTACAGAGATACTTTGGTTATGTGGACATGGTAATATTTTAAGAAGAAGGCACAGATAGGACTTGGATGGGGTTTTCAAAGTCTAGTAATGATCCATACCCTAACTTTTGCATGCTCATTCTGAGGTACCTCTTGGGGTCTGATTTTTAGAAAACGCTGAGCAGCCACTTTCTGAAAATCTGGAGGGCTGATGAGCACACTGTTCAGAGCTAGAAGTCGTCATTTGTCTGAAATAGATTCATATGACATGCCCTGAAATGCAGCATCCTCTCTGGACGACTTAAATGTTGCAGATTCATAAGCGGTTTCAAGAAGAATCCCTAGACCAGTAATCTTTGAAACAGAATGCAAATGCAAAGCATTTCCATGGAAATGAACATATGTACTTTTGGATTCCTTCATTTGCAGTATGGTTCCCACACTAGATGTCGAGCTTTTCTTAGCAGTAGCAGCAGCATTAAATTGTCTGCCCTTGCAGCTGATCCTTAGATTTAGTCGCAATCGTATGCCTCTAATTACTGATATGATGAGTTATGCTGATGCACAAGATATGTTGCCCAATTCATCAAGTTGTTTATGAACAGGTCTCTCCTTTAGCCAGCATAAAATCATATAATCTTTACTGAGATTGTTTCATCTAACATATCTGTGTTCCACTGTAGAAATCTCAGAAACATCCATTGGGGTTTCAAGAGTCACGCTTTCCATTACTCTCTTTAGAATAGCTGGTCCTTTGCATTTATCTTGGCTTTTTTTTTTTTTCTTTTGACACTTTGAAAGATTAGGATCATATTCTGATTGCAAATAAAGCAATTAGATAAAGTTGCACTTATTCTTTCCACTTAAAGACTCATTTCCAGCTTGTTCAGTAAGATAGGCTGAGAACACTTATTTTTCCTTGGCAAGATAATGCATGATGCTCTGTATTTTCATGAGTATCTTCATGTTTTTCTCCTTTTTCCTGAGAAAACTGACAAATTTAATATATCAGTAGTATTTTTTACATTCTCATCTGTTTGTATTTCTCCTCTTGAAAGGGGAGCACTGCCATTTCCCTTCCTTGCTCATATTTTGTATGAAAATTTTGAAAGAAGGAACCTTACCCTTGGCTTTTAAGAAAAGTTTCCCGGCTGAGTGGGAAAAGAAACCTCCCAGTTGAATCCAGTTGGGGAGAAAATCCATGGAGAGGGTATGACTTGTGCTGTTATCTCTGCTGTGAAGTACAAATAGTTCTTGTTGGGCACCATAAGCCATTTCATATCAAAGACTCCCCAACTGAGGCTGTTAAGTACCTTCATACATTTTTAAGGAAACTGGAATCCTGAAGTAGCCTATGGCTTTTGCTATCAGCCAGGTAGTGACATTGGCACAGTGCTCTTATCCTTGGGGACTTGTCTTAACTGAAAAGACTTGGGCCAAAAAAAGTAAATCTGGAGAAAATAATTACACTTTCTTTTGTTTCAGAGTACTGTGACTGCTGAATTACACACTGTAAGATACTTTTTTTCCTCAAATAAGGTGCTTTCTCCATCCCTGGCTACATTGAAGGCAGTTAACACCAAATGTACTCTCCTTCATGCAGTGCTATCCTTTCCTGTAGGCAAAGAGAACATATTTGAACAGCTACGATAGATCATCTGACAATTCTTTCATGTTCCTTGTGCTACAGAGGCAGTTGCTTTATCCAATAACGGGCATGTGGTTTCTGTGACAGAGAGAAATCAATGCTTCCATCATCAGGTGTTGATCCTCTTACTGTTGATAGAAGTTTTTCTTTACTTCCCTTAAAAGCAACCATGTTGTAAGTTTTTTCCTTTCAGTACCTTGAAAATATCTACTTGTTTTCTGTGCTTTGCTCAATGGCTGTAAACTTGGAAGAGCTTAGAGGTGCAAAATTAAAGCCACAAGCAGAGAGACAAAATGCTGATGCAATTAGCTGGTCCCTTCGTGGAGTGACAATGTTCCTGGTAGAAAAAGCTGTGTTTGCAGCAGAACAGCAGACCTGAACTCCCTGGAATTGTTGGTTATCCTGGCAAAAACACTGCTATTATGTTCTCTTCGTATGAGCCTCTGCATCCTCCCCAGTCCCTGAGAGCCTAACAAAGCAAGACTATGAATAAAATTACAGCTGGAGGGCCATTTTATTCTGTGTTGGCTCCCTTTCTTGACATATTGAGACTAAAAGTAAAAAAAAAAAAAAAAAAGACAGATAAGGAGTCAGATCAGGGCTGCGTAATATCCAATCCCCATACTTCTGTGCAAAAGTACTGGGCAGAAGTTCAGTGAAACAGAAATCTGGCTCCTACAGCAGTCTGGTTGGTTACTTTCCTCCTCAGCATGTAGACAAAGAGGGCAAATAGATAATTAGTTATTTGTATAGGTAGGAGTGACATTTTCCAGACATGGAGACTTTTTTAGCATTGCAATCCCAGCTAGACTGGCGTCATTTGGGAGATGTTGGCAGTGCTGAAGAGAGCAGATGGGATGTGAGCGTGGTGGCGATGGCAAGGCAGGATTAAAGGAAAGAAGAGAAGAGCTAATCAAAGTCATTGGAAATTTTATTCAGGGAATGGAAATAGGAAGAACCCAACCTAGGATCTAGCAGGAATAGACCATAAATCTTCCAGGGTGATGTGTCACGGGCAATAAAGATTTAGGAAATAGAGATTTAAAATAAGTAAATTAACTACATGAAATGGAGATCAGTCTTCTGATCTAGCCCTAATGCCCTCTGTATTTCTTCATCAGCAAAGAAAAGTGACTTGGAAGAGGTAGTTTTATGTAAAGGCCTTGAGCAGATTAAAAAATAATTCTGTCTAGATTAGAGCA